CCCGCCGCGGACCCCACTGCCCGCCCACAGGCCGCGCTCCCCGCAGCTCGCGGAGACGGTGCTCGGGCACTCGCCTAGTCCTCACCTCGATGTAGCCGGCCAGCGCCGCAGCGGGTGCCGTAAGCACGAGCAGCAGCAGTATCAGGAGTTTGCCCGTGGCCGCGGCGGCCGCCGTCCTGGTGGCCGCCATCCCTCACCGGGTCGTTCTAGCCTGGGCTCTCAAGCTCACACACACACACGCACACAGATTAGAACGCTTTCCCCACCGCGACCCAGAAGCATCTGAAGCCGGTTCGCCGCCGCCCCGGGGGTTTTACACCAACCGGAACTGACTTCACAAAACCACGCCCTCCTTCTGCAGCACCCAATGCTGGCCCGCAGGACTGCCCCCAAGACACCGCCCCTTGTTCGTTCCAGACCAAATCAGTGCATGGCATAGCCTGCTCCTCCCGCAGTCCCAGACGCGCGCCCCCGCCCGGCCCCGCCCCCAACCGCGGAGAGCCCCGCCCCCGCTTCGGACCCTGAGGGCGTGAGGCGCGGGGGTGTGCGGTGGGTGGACCGCGGGCCTCTGCTCCGCTGGGCGGAGGTGCGCCCCGGATGCTAGCACCCGCGCGGTGATTTGTGTTCACAGCGCTGGTCTATCTGCCTGCAGCCTCCGGATTCAAGCACATTCCGCTTCCCCGCCCCTGCGGAATATTTTTCAGATTCCTTTGGGTACCGCCCTCTTTTGGGTTCTGAAAATGGTTTTGTTAAAAACAGGATGGATCGTTAAGGGTCCAGGACTATTTACCAAAGGTGAACCCCCGAGGCAGAGGGTAGACTAAAGCTGGGAGCCTCCCTGCTCCTTCAATCCCCCAAGTGGAACGCGCCAGCCTCCCGCGCTCTGCTACCTACCTACCCACCCTCAGGCTGCTTCGCCTTTTCCTTGTCCCTGAACCGACGGAGTTGACCTGTGGTCTTTGGGCCTCATCCTTACCCGCCCAAACCAAGGATAGCTGCTTTGCATGAAGACCTCTGGTGCAAGGACCATGATAAGTAGAAAGACCAGGCCCCCCTCCTCCTCGCGTTTTAGGAAAAGATCCTGGTTTATTTCTTATTCTGTTTAAGATCACTAGCAAGAAAATTGCCTTCTGTTTTCTTCCTCCTTTGCATTTCTTCTCACTGGGAAAAGGTTCTGCTGCCCCATTTCACATTGGCACCATGGCCTTGCCATCACGAGGGCTCTGCTAGCTTTGTATCCTTTCAGTAACCTGTAATTTATGTACCACTGTCTGCAGAAATCTGGACTAGCTTCTTTAGGTTCAACTAAATAAGTAATCTCTACCCTCAGCAACTGACAGTAAACAGAAGAGGCAATGTTCGCAGAATGAACAGAGTGGAGCAATGAGAAGAACCCTGGATTATTTTGAACTACTCATCTACATTGAGTAGTTCCTGTGGTTAAACTGGCTCTTCCTTATTCCCCAAAGACTTTGAGTACCTTTCCATTACAGAGCCCTTCCTAACACTGCTCCTGCTGTGTCCTCCATATTTACCTACTGGGAACATTTTCGCTCTTTCTATACTCAAGTAGATGTGATATCATTCATAAATGAATGCTCGGAGGATTATTTCCTACTATAGCGCTTGCTCCCCTAGTTATTTCCTTGCCTCCTGTGCCACTGAAGATACTTGGCTATATCATACTGCAATGCCCCTCACAGTGGAAGCCTTGACAGATGTGTGTTCAATGGTTTTGAAGCCAATTATCTGGGTGCTAGTCCCGGTTCTGGAACTGACTTGTGTTTAGGTCTGAGTTTTGGCCCTCCCCCAAAATTATATGTTGAGGCCCTAACCCCCAATGTGATATTTGTAAGTGGGTCCTTAGGGATATTGGAGGGAGGAAGCCCTCATAATAGGATTAGTACCCTTATGAGAAAGAAGAGACAACCATACTAGAGTTTGCCCCACCCCTCCTCCTTTTCATTCTCTTATCTCTGAGGCCATCATAAAAATGTAGCCATCTGCAAGCCAGGAAGAGCGCCATTGCTGAGGAACCAAATTGGCACCTTAATCTCAGACTTCTCAGCCTTCAGATCTGGGAGAAATCAATTCCTGTTATTTAAGCTACCTAGTTTATGGTATTTTGTTACAGTAGCTGGAACTAATACACCTGTGTAACAATGGGTTCCCTCCTTCATCACTTGGGACTCTCTTACTTGTCAATTGTGAATCTTAAAGCCTATCTCATTTCACCAGTTAGGTGATTCAAAGAAAAATGAGAGCTAAGCACAGTGGCACATGCTTGTAATACCAGAGACTCTGGAGGTTGAGGCAGGAGGATCATGAGCTCAAAGCCAACCTTAGCAACAGAAAGGTGCTAACCAACTCAGTGAGACCCTGTCTGTAAACAAAATACAAAATTGGGCTGGGGTTGTGGCTCAGTGGTTGAGTGCCCCTGAGTTCAATCCTCAGCACCGAAAAGAAAACTGAGTGCTGGGAATATGGTAGAGAACTTGCCTGTTATGCACCAGGTCCTGAATTCAATGAAGGGAGGGAGGGAATGAATATTATACAAAAGTGAAAAGTATGAAGAGACTTAAATATAAATGGTGGAAGATGGTAAAACAACTGATAATCTTTTTTTTTTTTGTGTGTGTGTGTGTGTGTGTGTGTACCAAGGATTGAACCCAGGGGCACTTAACCACAGAGCCACATCCCCAGCCCTTTTTAAATTTTTTTTATATTTATTTTTTATAGGTGGACACAATATCTTTATTTTATTTTCATGTAGTGCTGAGGATTAAACCCAGTGTGTCATGCATGCTAGGCGAGCACTCTACCTCTGAGCCACAACCCCAGCCCTGCCTTTTAATTTTTATTTTGAGACAGGGGCTCACTAAGTTGCTTAGGGCCTTGCTAAGTTACTGAGGCTGGCTTTGAACTCATGATCCTCCTGCCTCAGTGTCTCCAGAAGGCAAAATTGTGATGTATGCAGTCAAGAGGAGAAATAAAGAATGTCCACATACTTCTGCCCCTTTCAATGCTTTATTCACTCAAATTACTCAATACAATTTCACTCTATAGGTTCTTAATCAAGCAAACGACAATCCTTAATGCTAGGCACTGCAATAGACATAATCAATTCACAGCAAACAATTCTAGATTAATTAATCACAGCAAACAATTCTAGATTAATTCTAAGCACTACAAAACACATTTAATCGTGACAGGCTAATGACAGACATTCCCTCTGCATGCTAAGTTCAAATGTCAGATCAAAAGTCTTAAGCCTTAGGCTTTATGTCCAGCAGATGCACACTCACTCAAACCACGGTGATCAGGTCTGGAACCAAGGCTGGCTTCCCTGGAGTGTAATGGGGTATAGTTTAGGAGAGGATTGTAGGGAGGGTTGTAGGTTGTAGGGCTCTCACCAAGGTCCAGACCAGGAGGTAGAGTTCGAGATCTGAGAGGATTATGCTGGGAATCAGGAATTGATGACAAGTGTTGGGATGTCAGGTCCTCATCAGGCTCTCCAGTTTAAGTGCCTCCTTATTTCAGCTAGCTGAATCCCTGTTCATCAGCTCTATTATTTATACTAAATTTTGGGACTTTTGAGCCCCCTTTTAATCCTTATCAGCTACCACCAGATTTCTCCATGACATCATTTACCCTGGAGTCAGAAACTTCTGGTCTGGTGGTCTCCACCATAATCTTCTTGACTTTCCCCCATATCAGGAGAGGACAGCCTGCCAGAGGCTTCCCTGTTTTTATCAGGGTGAGGGAAAGTAACTTGTTTGAGGCCCACTGGAGGGCTCTGTGGGTGTGCCTGGTGAGACTGCAGGTTTCAAAGTGGAATTTTTAAAATGGAGTTGCTTACGCTCAGGCCTAAGGCCATCCTCACATTCAGCTTCCTGAGCCATTGGGATTACAGGCATATGCCACTACACCTGGCCCAAAGATTCTTAGTTAAGTGTTGATTGTCCTGTTCATCAAAGTTCAAAGCTTGAATATTTTACTCTGTTTTATTAAATGACACTATTGGGTGCAAACCTAGTTTTCCAATTCTCAAATAACAATTTTTCATCCCAAATACATTCTTGTCTGTGACCAAGGTTTAAGAGTGATATGTTTTCATTTTAGTAACTTTTGTGCATAAAAATAAAAGGCCATAATCTGTTCTTTCCATCTTCTTAAAAATCAGACTTTCTGGGCTGGGGATGTGGCTCAAGCGGTAGCGTGCTCGCCTGGCGTTCATGCAGCCCGGGTTCGATCCTCAGCACCATATACCAACAAAGATGTTGTGTCTGCCAAGAACTAGAAAATAAATATTAAAAAAAAAATCAGACTTTCTTCTAAAACAGTGTCTTCCATGTACACCTAAGACAAGTGCATTTCTTTGTTGTAAAAAAGCAAAGTTCATGTCCCTGTCTGTATAATTATATTAGCAGCATCCTCTTGTTCATTTATCCAGCATATATGGGGCAGGGAGATAGGGGTGCATAAATAGGGCTATGATAGTTGCTCCCAAATCAAGATGTTTTTCAGAATCAACAAGGAGTTTTATTTTTTTTAATATTTATTTTTTTAGTTGTAGATGGACACAATACCTTTATTTTATTATTATTATTATTTTTTTATATGTTGCTGAGGATAGAACCCAGGGCCTTGCATGTGCTATGCAAGCGCTCTACCACTGAGCCACAATCTCAGCCTCAACAAGGAGTTTTATTTTAAGTCCCAGTCTCAAGCTGGGGTTGTAGCCCAATGGTAGAGCACTTGCTTAGCATGTGTGAGGCACTGGGTTTGATTCTCAGCACCATATGTGAATAAATAAATAAATAAGGGTCCCTAAACAACTAAAAAAAAAAATATTTTTAAGGTCTCAGAAATCCTAAATCTCTAAGGCTGGGATATCCAAGGGAATCAGTATATGCATATATGTTCAAAGCTCTTCCCAATAGTTGTGTTGTTGATGGTTTGCTTTTTGTAGTGCTGGGGCTTGAACACAGGAACCTAAGCATAGTAGGCAAGTACTCTACCACTCAGCTACATCACCAGCCCACTAATAGTTTTCAGAACAGCTGCTCTAAAGTAGTAGTTGCTTGATTCTTGGATATCATGGAAAAGGAAAAACATTTTTAATTGGAAGAGCTAACTTAAAATTAAGAGTATTTTTAGTTTTTTAAATAAAAGCATTAAGACACATAAGGGAGACATGGTGGTGTGCATCTCAGCTACTCAGGAGGCTAAGGTAGATTTGCAAGAGCCCAGGAGTTCAAGCACAGCCAGGGCAACATAAGAGACCCATCTGCTCTTTTT